CGGGCTACGGTCCGGCCGGGGCTGAAAGCCTTCTCCGGGCTGTGAAGGGAGGGAGAGCCCCGAGGGTGGCTCATGTGCCGGCGCTGTCGCCGGCCCCCTCTGCCTCCTCCGGCCCTGAGCCGTCCCGGCTTCCTCCTGTCCGCTTTCTTCTGCGTCTTTCTCCGTTTCTGCCTCACCTGGTTGCCCTCCGATGTCCGTCTTTCCCCACTGTCACCGACTTCTCTGAGGCCTTCTGGCATAACTCACCTTTTACAAGAACCGAGCTCAACTCAGAGCTTTTCTAGTTCAAAAAAGCTCCAAACCACTCTTAATTTTCCTTTCCATCAAATGCACAAAAACTACAAAGTGCCTTGTCTTTTGTTGGAGTATATTTGGTCAGTGATTGCCCAATTATTGCAAAATATACCTTTGATCCATCTATGTATGCAGCTTTGAAGTAGTGTTCCTCTGAGTTCCTAGTTTGACCTTCACTGAAATGTTCCAACCCTTTTTTGTAGGAAAATTATAACAATGAAAGTGCTAAAATATTTGCTATAAGAAGAAAGTGTTGGTTTTTTTCAGATGCAAGTGCATTATTTTTCACAATAGAGCAATCAAGAGAAAAAAAGAAAAAAGGCAATTCTGGCAAAAGCTGCACTGGCCCAGTAGTAGAATGAACACGACTGAAAGCACATTGGAGGAGACTGAAGTTCCTCTGAATATCTGATATATATAATATATATAGCGTATATATAATATCTGGTATAAATAAGATGGAATTTGAAGTAAGTTGAAATTAAGTAATGTTTCTGCAGAGTTTTGTGGGGGTTTGGGGGAGGAGTAGTTCTGCTATGTTTATTTCATTGTTCTGTAACTTGTGTTACACCAACTTATCATAGAATCATAGAGGTTGGAAGGGACCTCGAAAGATCATCTAGTCCAACCCCCCTGCCAGAGCAGGGTCACCTAGAGTACATCACACAACTTATCTTAAAATATTTGATGATCATGACGATTAGCAGTGATTAAATACTGATATTTGTAAGCAGTCATGTAAAAAGATGCTGTATTGCTTGTTAAGCTGGTAGTGTGTTTGAAATAGGCAGGGGGAAAAGTTGTTTAACTAGTGTTGAACTTCTAAGTTTGTCCCATTGTATCTAATTTAAGGGACAGAAATACTCCAAGAACGTTTTACTGCTAACATTTGACACTCAGTTTATTAAAAGCTCTATTTGCTAGTGAATGTGATACATATAAAAAGCAAAATTTTGTTGGAAGGGTAGTTCAACAAGTTTTGCCATAGTATGTACTTCATTAGCTATTTATTGTTTTCTCACTTCTGATCCAGGTATTACTGCATTTGTAGAAGTTTGGTCATCTAACAGAACAGAAGATTACTCGAAAACCTTTGAACAGCAACTTCTTCATATGGGAGCAAAAGTAAGGAAGTTATTTTGAATAGAATATGAAAGGTCTTAATTACAGCCTAGTTTGCTTGTTCTCGGCATGTATATTTTACTGTAGTATGAGTTTTTAAAGTGTAGGAATGAAGATAATCACAGACTTGAGAATAGAATAAATGAACATGCTCTAAAATTCTAGATAACAAATGGATTTGAAGCATTTCTGTATCTACAGACCTTTTTGTATATTAGCATGATAGGATGTGTTTGTTGTCAAGTATGGGCATTGCTACTGTACTGTGGGCAAACCAGATCTAAGTGTTGAAAGCCTGTAGTTCACAAGTATTTACCTAATGTTCTTTTGTTTTCTTTAACTTCTAGGCTGCTGCTCTGTTGTTACTAGAATATTTTCTATCCCCAGTACCATGACGTTTTATTCTTCCACTCACCCTTCTGCAAATGTGGTTCAGCTCCAGAAAGTGCTAGTAGAAATACATCTAAGAGTCTTTGTATATGTCTCAGTGATTTTTTTTTTCCTGTATCAAGTGTAGTTGACCTGTCCATGAAAAATATGTTTAATTGCCAGCTGTAAAATTTCACAGCCTGGTCAAACTGGCTTCTTCCCTTCTGGCACATTGTCAGCAGTTAATGGAGATTTTTACAGCCCATATCGTGTTCTAAGTAACACTTGCATGAGCTCCATGTGCTTTTTTAGTGGGTGTGTGTAGGTGTGTATTAGAGTAATTTAGGAAATTTTGCTCATCTCCCCAAAACCTCTCTTTCTGTATGAATTTAGCTGAGATAGCATGACAGAACAGTGGAAGAACTGGTTTTATTATAAAAGCAAATGCAACTCTCAATACATAACAAGTATTTCTTACTAGAGTTCTTTTGTGCTGTACTGTTGGATCTATGAAATTATGATGATGCTGTTTTTCTCACAGAAAATATGACAAAGCATAGTGCTTCAGAAGTCCTCAAGTTGATCAAAAAGTAGCTGGATATGGGGAAAGGTATAAAGAGATGATAAATGAGCCTGTTTTGCAGATCTGACTGAAAAGGAGTGATCCTGCCCCTTCACTTTTCCAGACACTTCATTCCCTTTTATTGGGCTGAGCACATGATAATCATAGAATGGTATGGTTTGAAGGGACCTTAAAGATCTTATAGTTCCAACCCTGCTGCTCTGGGCAGGGACACCTCCCACTAGACCAGGTTGCTCAAGGCCCCATCCAGCCTGGTCTTGAACACCCTCCAGTTATGAAGCATTCACAACTTCCCTGGGCAACCTGTTCCAGTGTCTCACCACCCTCAGAGTGAAGAAGTTCTTCCTTACATCTAATCTAAATCTACCCTCTTCCAGCCATTACCCCTCATCCTATCACTACAAGCCCTTGTAAAAAATAACTCTCCAGCTTTCTTGTAGGCCCCATTCAGATGCTGGGAGGCCACAATGAGGTCTCTCCAGAGCCTTCTTTTCTCCAGGCTGAACAACCCCAACTCTCTTAGCTTGTCTTTGAAGGCAAGCTGTTCCAGCCATCTGATCATCTTCATGGCCCTCCTTTGGACTGACTCCAACAGGTCCATGTCCTTCTTGTGCTGAGGGCCCCAGATCTGGCTGCAGTACTGCAGGTGGGGTCTAACAGGAGTGGAATAGAGGGGCAGAATTGCCTCCCTCAACCTGCTGGCCACACTTCTCTTGATGTAGTCCAGGATATAGTTTGCTTTCTGGGCTGCACTTGCACATTGTTGGCTCCTGTTGAGAGTTTCATCAACCATCACTCCCAAGTATTTCTCCTCGGGACTGTTCTCAATTCAGACTCCACCCAGCCTGTATTTGTGCCTGGGATTGCCCCAGCCTGTAGTAAACTGACTTGGCTCACTCTGTTAGGAAAGAAAATTCTAAATTATTTTTTCACTAGATTATTGTTTTGGACATCTCAAGCTAAGGCCAGGTGAGTGTTAGAAGATGTCCAGGTTAAGGGTGGAGACGAGACGTGCGAGGGAGGTGTGAGGTGATGCTCCACCATAATTTGGATGCAAAGCTATATCAAGCATCTGTCTCCTTAGGACATGTGCTGTGAGGTGGATACTAGCATAAGCAAGCAGTTGTATATAGAATCGTAACTTACTCTGAAAGAGATTCATTGGTCCTGTATACCTAGATACTTAAACATAGGAGTTTTTTTTCTGAAAAGCAATAAATCGGCTTGCCACCAGAAACTTTTGGAGAAGCTGAATAGTTTTCTTAAAGCCAAATTTAGATCCAGGATGTCTGGAGCCAAGTGAGGTGATGCAGTTGAGACTGCAGCAGAAGGCTACACAACTGATTCCATTTGGCTGTGCTGAGAAGGTGCCATTGTAAAATAGGAGTTGTACTGATCTCACTGTGTCAACAATCACAACTGATCAAAGAGTTTTATGTGTAGGAGGTATAGTCTTTACAAAAGGGAACTTTTGTTGTGAAGAATGGAGTATCTAGAACTAAAAAGGGTATTGCTTAATTGTCTATTAGAAGCTCATAGCTGAAGATTTGATCAGTTCTACAACACAATTAAATGTCACATATGATATGAACTGTACTGACTTAAGGTTTTGGTATTTCTCACTTTCTGAAGTGTTCCCATATAGGTTTGGGGGTTTTTTTTGTAATAGCTTCAACCTTCCCTCAAAGCTAACAATGATTTTTATTGATGAAAATTCAAGGATGTTCTCTTTAAGCCTGAGTTCTTTGCTAAACAAAAGATGTAATTTGGCATTTCCTTGACTAGTGACAACTACTTTCTGTACCAGCTGTTGGATTAGAGATTGTTGGGCTACATAAAAATGTTGTAAGGTTATTAGTACAGGTAAAGTAGGGAGATGAGAATGCTAACCTAGAGAGAGGTTTGAAAACAAGGAAGCTACTCTAGCCCCCTTACATGCATTGCATTGGTTTGACTAATGAAACTTGAGTTTTGATTGCTTGAGGCTTCTTGCAAAGATGAAAAAGATCAAGAGAGTCCTTGACATATGATGTAGAAAAAGTTTTGTCACTAATGGTTTATATGTTAAAACCAGACTACAGTAGCTAGTTTCATTAGCGTTTTGTGATTATCAGACTTAAAGATGAGCTCTCTATGTACTTCTGCAGGTTTCAAAAACTTTGAACAAGCACGTGACCCATGTCGTCTTCAAAGATGGACGTTTGTCTACGTGGAGTAAAGCACAGAAGATGGGTGTAAAACTAGTTTCAGTACTCTGGGTGGAGAAGTGAGTACTTGCAAATATAATTAATGTGACATATTCCAGAGAGAATGGATTCTAGTATTGTTTTATTTTAAAACTTGAGTAGAGTACTGGAAATAGTGATAAATCTACGAGTAAATTATAATTTGCCTTGACATTATTCCTGTTATAGAACATGTTACTTGCATAAAAAGGTAAAATGTTAACTCTTGAAAAATTTATGTTGGAGTAATTCTGTAGTACATTAGTTAATCATTCCATGTTTTACTCCTTCCACTCTCAGATGGCGTGCACAGGCAGTGGAGACCAGATATTTATGTTGAATAGAATGCTTCCATTTTCAGTATAGAAAAAGCATCAGGGACTTTGTACTGTTTTTGTACTTAACTCCTGTAGACTGAGTATCTCCTAGTAAGAAAGAAAAAGACCCATGTGTAGTCTGCCTTTTAAGACGTTTGGGAGGTTCAGAATAGCACTGCTTGCAGATTCTCAACTACCATATGGAAAATGTGCAAGTTACAGTTATAAAAAATATTTTAAAAAAATACCATTTCACCTGTGCAGCAAGTCTGTGAGAATTTGCTGGTCCATAGCTGCTTCTCAGAGTATACAAAGTGGTTGTGAGGCCCAACTTAGATTTCAGATGAAGTGTAAAAAACATGGTGTTTAAGAATATGCATGTGTTAAACACTCCAAATGATGAATTCCTGTGATGAATGAAATGAGAATATAAGTCAGGTAAAGAGGTGCTTTTCTATACCAGTTTTAATATGGGGGAGAGATGGAAGTCAGCTAAGTGCAAAAGTAAAAAAAAAAAAAAAAAAAAAAAAAATGGGGACAGGACCTGAGCTCTGTAGACCCTTAAATGTTGTCCAGTGCAATGGGAAAACTTGTAATGCAAATCCATTAGCCAAAAAAAAGACATTCAAGTAGTTCTGCAGAAGCAAGTTTTTCCTTCTCCTTCCTCCTGTTTCTCCTTCCTCCTGTTTCTCCTTCCTCCTGTTTCTCCTTCCTAACTGATACAGAAGTTACAGCTGCACAACCCAGCCAGCTTTAACACCCAGGAAGAAATATCTTAATTTCTCAAAGATCAGTGATACAAAGTTTTGTTTATGTGAATGTATCTTTCTGTGACCTGATGCTATCTGGGTGTGTGAGAACAATGCTCATTTCAGTAGGAATCTTTGGTTATAAAATTAAGTATACTTTTCAGATGTCAAATTCCCTACTTATACACCTAGCCATCTTAGTCACAGGAATTATAAACCATTTGAGAACGTGGATGTACTATAATCCAAACGATCCCAGAAAAGAAGCATCTGCAATGGAAGAAGGATGAAAGCACCGTACAGAGGAGAGTCTGGGTAGGATGTGTCATGCAGAAATGCTGTCTCTGTAACAGCAGTTCCACCCCAAGGCTCCTCTGCAATTAGGAAGGTGCTGGGTGGATGAACGCTGTAGAAAGCTCAGACAGAGAGACAGTTGGATATGGGATGTTGCAGGGAACAGTGTGGAGCTTTGAGATCCAGGTGTAAAAGCCTCAAGAAACTCTTAACTTGCTGAATGCCAGCAACAAAGAAGAAGACAGGAGAAAGGATCTGGAGGGAAAACTTAAACTGTTTGGGATAGAGAAGGCTTGCATCTCCCTGGTATTTCTTGAAGTGTTCCTAGTAACAGGCTCTGGACAAGGCAAGGTCTTGCTATATGCCTTAGAAGATGAGGTCTGTTGGAAGTGAGAAAATAATCTGAAATAGAGAGTTGTATTTTTGGGATGAGGAACATGGACACACTCAAGCTGTGAAGTACAATTGAACTTCATCGCAGTCTTCTGCTTTGTAGTTTGAAGTTAATGGCAAAAGGTGCACAAGAACATACAACTTAGGTTGATGCATACTCTAGGCAGAATTCATAGGAATATGATATCCTTGAATAAAGTATAGTTCAGGAGGGGGAGAAGCTTACATAAGACATAGTAATGAATAGTCTCACTAGTAATAGGGTTATTCAAATGAGGCACAGACAATACAAAATTAAAATGAGTCTGTGCCAGCAATTTGGGGACTTACAGTAAATGTTTTCATGGCTTTATCACCTCAGCAGCAAATTAAATAGAATGTAAAACCTCACATAATGGGATGACAGTATTTTATCATGGAATATTGCAAGAGGATGGCAACAAATATGACTGAAGTTATAAAATGACATGTGATGAAAAAGACAAGTCTTCAGCTTGGAAAAGAAGTGGAAATGGAGGGGGAGAGATTCTTGTGAACACAAAGGTTCATATTGAGAGGCTGAACAGGGAAAGAATGTATATTTTCCTTTCCAGTAGAACTGGAAAGCATCACGTGAATCTGTCTGGAGGCAGATTCAGAGACGAGTAAATGGTAAGTGTTTAGCAGGACATGGTTAGGCTGTAGTACTCCTTGTTGCAGAATCACAGACAGCAAAGATTTACATTGGTTTAAAATTGCTGGATCAATTAAATATTTAGTTTTATCAGAACCCAAATACAGTATTGCATCTGTCCATCTCTAAACCAGAAATCTGTGGAACATAGCAAAGTAAACTGGGAAAGTTTGGCTGTGTTTTCATGTTCTTACATGCTCTTGGGGGTCTCTATATTGGAAACAGGATGTTGCAGTGTATGGTATTTAATGTGGACACTACTTTTTGATGTTTGAGTTCAGAAAACACCAGACAAGGAAGCAAATCAGAAACAATTAACAACAGCATTTCCTGATTTTTCTGCTTTGTGCCAAATACTCTCTCCCTTAACAGCTAGTGAACCCCTATTTCCAAATTATTATGCATGTATATATAAACTGTTATCTTCCCCTGAGCAGTGCTTGAGTCTCTCAGAGGCACATAATACTTAATATAATACTCACTTTTCTCCATAAAAACCAACACAAACTTAGGGTAAAAGGGTTTGTGCAGTATTTACTGAGCATGACCTTGTTGAACTCTGACTAGATTTCCAGTGCTCTGTCCGATGATCTGCCTCAAAATTGTATTGGAAGCTTCCTCTTTGCAGTATGAGCATCTATTTGGATCTAAATTGAATGCAGTTCTCCAGGTTAATAGGAAGTCATTTGATTGTGAAGAAGACTCTTTGAGATAAGGTAACAATTGAAGTTCCAAAAAATTCAGAACTCCAGAGTAAATGTGTATTTGATTTTTAAAAATATTTTGGGTATTTTTTGTTTTCTAAGAAACGTAGATGTATAATTTTTAAAACAGTGCACAAAATCTTAGACTTGCTGTAAGAATTGTTTAAATAATTGTAAGTTTAATGCAAAATGAGTGACAACTTTGAGATCACTGGAAAAAAAAGTTTGCTCTTCTTCATTTCAAATGCTTCAATTAACAACCTTAAAAAAAGTCAAAACCCAAAAGCAAATAGAACCCTACATAAGACAGAATCACTAAAATCTGTGTCCAAATTAAGAATGTTCAATATTTCCAAATCAAACCCATAACTGGGAAATACTACCTGTGTATTCTTAGTACAGCAGGTCACTTATGTCACGAATAAGACTGGTTGATCATTACATTCAGATTTTCCTGCAAAGTAAAAAAAATCTTACAAGGTATTTAATGGTCTTCTCTTTAGCTTCTCTGAATTGATGAAAACTCTGAATTAACGTTACTTTTAGTCTGGTTTGCTTCTATATGCTGGTTATTATCTGGAATTTAATAATAGCTACTGAAATCCAGCACATTGAGTATCACCTCTATTTGATGCTCCAGAGAACTCTAAGCTCAGTTTGACAAATGCTTGTAGTAGTTTTGCTCATTATTCAAAACCAAGTAAGTTTTAGGTTATAATTCTACAGATACAAACTTTTTAACAATTAGCTCACTAGGTGTCACTAGAATCACGGTTTTGAGTGACTTCTGGGGGACTTCTAATGTAGTCCATTAAGGTTCTATACTC